CGGTACTGACTTACTTACAACAGCAGTCGAAGCTATTCAAAATAGATCTGTTCGCTTCATTCTTACTAACTATCACCGTAGTGCAAGCGTAACATCCATGAAAACGTCTTTAAACCTACCTAACCTTTCTTCACGCCGTGAGTTATCCCGTCTTTGTCTGTTTCATAAAATTTATCATCACAATTCTTCCTTGCATCAAAAATTACTAACCCCTCCCTCATATGTCTCGCCACGCGTCGATCACCAACACAAAATCGGTCTACCTGTTTGTAAAACCACTACTTTTTATAATTCATTCATCTCCAAAACAACAATCACGTGGAACCACCTTCCATCGTCAGTTGTGTCTGTAACAGATGCCACCATGTTTAAGCGTTGTTTAACCACTTTTCTAAGTTAAAATTTCTTATGTTCGTGTTTCTATTCTTAGGTTGTCATTTTGTTTTTTAGTGATTTTACTTTGTAACCCACTCCCCTCTGTAATGCCCTCGGGCCCTGAGGGTACAATAAATAAATAAATAAAAAAATAATACGCGCGGTGACCGAGTCCGGCCTCTGCGCTGTGTGAAGCAGTGGGTGGCGCTCGTTTCTGTTCGGAGGTGGTGATAAAAATGTCAGTCCCTTTTTTTACGACGCTCGTTTCTATAGCTTGGGTCCTTATCTCAAGTGACGTACAGTAGCGCCTTTTTGAAATCGTATACTTTGCGGTGAGCGATTGAGAGTCATGCTGGCATTTTATTTTGGTCAGCACTACACGTTGAATGAAGACCTTGGGCCGCGACGTAAATATGTGTTGCTCCCCAAATTGTGTCCAAGGTACGCAGTGACAATTGGAAATGGTATTGAAAGCGTGCGACCGACGGTTGGTAATTGCGTGCGTTCGATTCACTTCTTCAGTCTAACCATATTTGTCAATGTCTTATCTGTTTCGACAAATGACATGGTCGTGTCTATTGATAACCTTAGGTAGACTGCACCTACGGAGTGTGCGGGCTTTAGATAAATTTGCTCCGTTTGTGTGAATAATAACTGTCTTCTCTTTTCCGTACTCGGTGCTATGCAAAAATCGATGAGCTGTCATGCTAGCGTTGTGTGGTGGCGTTTTGCACGCTGACTCGCTATTGCATTCGCTGTGCACAGAATGTGTTCAGATGGAATGTGTCAAATCTTATTTCCGATCGATATGATAGACGTACTTTGTTTCAGTGTTAATTAAATTTCCCTGATTTAAACTGGTCCGTCCCTGATTTGAGCCCAAGTTCAAATTCGAGAGTTGAGACGGACTTGGCGTCGTAACAGTCGTAATGCGCAGAAATAAATTAGTACCATGAAAGAAAAACAAAAGGATACGAGGCGGCTCGGTGTTACAGAAGTAATAAGTGTACAAAAGATGCCATCGTACGTTTTTTTTTTCCTTGTTGAACGTTCTGCATCGTTGTGAAACGCTCAAGGTACCAGCGAAGACAACGAGATGGCGTGAAATTTCATCGAGCGGAAAACTAGCGTCACTTTCGCCATGTGCTGATTGAGTGAGGGAAAAGACGTTATTGACACTGGTGAATGGAGAAGTCAACTTATTGGCAAGTTTAGAGATAGTTCATTCATTTCGATATGGCGCAAAATGTGCGCGAAATAGTAGCAGGTAAGGGAGCAAAATTTAGATGTTGGGTCTGGAACACCGCCAGACTCAGCCGTGTTGGGGCCGTCTCTCGCGAGTCAATACGTCAAAGGTATTGCGCGTCGAATTGTACATGCGAGTTATCCATTTGAGCGAAACCTTGATTTCGGAAAACTACTGAGCGTTAGAAATATGCATCGTGTTAATCAGCTATGACTATTCCTTAGCTCACTAGCTGCGCGCAGGACTTGGAAGCCACGAGCGAGAAATAAATGAAAGTGGCTTTTGTAGGACAATCGCAGCGTGGAAACCCATAAAAGAGAGTTCCGAAAAAAAGAGAGCTCCCCTTTCCCCTTCTCTTCAAGTGTTGGGTTGCGCTCTCAATCCTGCACCTTTGGTAATAGTGCGCGCACCCAAAATCGCCTTCTTCGCGGAAAAACACGGTGACCTTCAGCTCAACTTGAGCTCACGAACTTGAGATCTTCGCTCAACTCAACGATTGTTACCGCTAAAGACTTCGTGAAAGTGCTACGTGAAAAAGTAACAAATGTCTGCATGTTCCACCTGTCTGCAGAACGGGTTCGAGAGTTTCGTGCGGTGAAGCAAGCAGAGTGGACCACTGTAAAACCTGTCAGAGGAATCCAGGTATCTCATCTGTGGAAGTCATCATATGCCGGGAGGCCGGATATTTACATGGCCAGTCGCGGAACTGTTAGCGGATTTGCAGAGTGGGTCGTTTTGTTTTTGTGATTCGAAAGCTAATTAATAGTATTTAAAGTCAAAGTCCCTTTTCGCGTCACTAATACTCACCTCTTATGAAAGAAAGTATTTTAATAATATAAAATACATACCATAACTAATGCTCAAAATGTTTGGTGCTGTGCGGCAAAGCCGCTATGACGAAGACGCCGGCTCGCTCCGAGTGAAGGTTTGTCGTAGCTTTTCCCGTTCGGAGGTCATATGTTACTCAATCTCTTGCCATCAAAAGTTAGTTCAAGTCACTGCAAAGTGGCAAGGGGGGTTTAAAAAAAATAAAAGATGGAGTTTTTTTTTTTTTTTTTTTTTTTTAAGTACCGAAACTCAATCTCTCCACATATTGAGAAATCAGCCGCATTTCCGCGTTAATAACAAAAAGACTGTTAAGAGTGGGCATATTATCTTTATATATTCGTAAAGAATATTTAAAGATGCGTATTTTGATATGCTTTGTGAAGTATTATGAAAGATGGTTTATTTGCAAAAAGATTCTGATCATGTCTCTAAAACGCGTTTTTATGCCATGTTTGATTTTTTTGTTTGCATAAAAATATTTTCTAGATATTTTTAATGCTTTGTGTATGTGTTGTATATCTTTTGTAAAACGTATGAAAAAAGGTTTTGGTGACGCGAAAACTTTAATGAGAAAATGACGACTGTGCAAAGTAGCATAGTGAAATCTTCTCAATTTCCACGCCTCGAGCTTCTCCATTTTATATCTCAGCGAAAAAAAAAAAAATTGTTACGGCGTTCATATATAGCTGAATGTTCCTCCCAAGAACATGACTTTCATGTATATATTTTTAACAAAAATATCTAAATTATGACCCGGACCATCACTGCATGAACTGACGTGGAATCACCCTACTGCAAAACTCGAGACATTATTTACCAGGAGCCGACTTTCTTATCAACGGATGCGATAATGAGATGCAGCTGACTCGCTCCGCCCTGCGTTTCTTAAACAGCCATTGACTGTAACTAGTGGGGAGAAATTAGAAGAACAACAGCGAAAATGTTCACCCGTGTAAGCCATCCTTGGAGGGTTCGAAGAAATTGAAAACGTACTTACCCAATGCGAGGAATCTGTAAGATAGAGTATTATATTGTCGAAGATTTCCGTGAAGCAACAGTAACGGGGTACAAGGGGACACACCGTAAACCTCTCCAACCAACATTCATTCTCAAAACTGGCGTTGGAAATTATCATATCCACGAGGCACGGAAAAGTAAAATAATGGAAACCGACACAAAAGTGGAGTTTTCTGTCGTCTCGTCCATTTTTATTTCTTCGCGTCTCGGGGATTATGATGTTTTCGAACCAGCTCGCTTGCATACCTTCGCATACGGTGTGGCGAGTCCTCTGCTAATCTGAAGGGAGATTAGCTCACGTGACCTCATGTAACCAATGGGGACGTGTGACCCCAGACAGCCACCAGTCGTATGAGCGTTGTGACGAATTGCACTCTCATAAGGGAACGAAATGACTGAGCATACATATTTTGTCCGGTGTTCGAGCAAAGCTGCACAGTGCAGATTATTTTGCTTGTCGAACATTTCTCGGCTCACGTCACACGTTTCTGTCTAGACAACGTTCATTCTGATCGCAAACCATCTACACCTAAGCGCAGTTTCGTGAAAGCTTGCACTCGTTGGTTGAGGCAAGCGCCTTCTTTCGTTTGCCGCTCAGCATACTCAGTACGACTATATCCCGACTATCACGTTAAATACCAGAGCTTTGGCGTGCTAACTGACCACAGTGGCATGAACCCGCTTTCGCTTTCCAGAATACCATGAGTCAGCAACTCTGCAGCGCGCGTTTTCTTATTGTAAGGTTTTGCAATCCTAACAGGAACGCAACCCGATCCGCACGTTTTCACGCTCGGGTGATAGCAGGCCCGTTGGGCTCAATTCGTTCGCGGTGCTGTGAAGCCCGTCGAGACTACTGAACCTCTTGCACCATCCAACAAATGTGTTTCGCGATTGGTCTGAATTAAAAAAAGAGTATTTACATGTATGTACCCATGAATTATGCAAATATGACACCTTGGACCTTCAAGGGTGCTGGCAGTCTTATTATCTACCGTCTACCTGTGTTTGCAGTCTTATTATCTGGCGTAGGTGTAGGACAAACAGAAACCCAGGGAATCTTTTCTTTTGATGGTATACCTTTTTTTACGCGGGCGTCGCCATTTTGAATGACGGTCTTCCGGTATGCGGGAAAAAGTCGTTTTGCTCTTGCCATGCCACTGGAAACTATTCAAGTTTTAACCATTGCTCTCAGTCATTCTTGATTCGCCTCTTCTATATTTGTTTTTTCTTGTCCCAAGTTGTAAAGTTTTCCTTTATATTTTTTTTTTCATCCCGCATACGGGACGTGTGAACTACGTGACCGGAGACGACGGTAAACAAAAAAGAGAGGAAAAATAAAACAGTACTAAAAGTTGTGAATTTACTCGAGCAGAGGAGTCTCAGACACACCCGAGTGTTTTTGTAGGGGGCGACATAAATATAACTCATAAGCATAGAGAAGCCTCAAACCTGAATTTTAATTCTGCTGTGTTGGTGTCGTCTTCTGGAAAACCTCAAGCTCGCGTGAATTCACCAGATATTGACATTCACCAGATTGCTCGCACCCTCGTGTTTCTTTGTAATAAACAATATTTACAACGTGCACAACAACGACCGCGGAGCAAAGAGCCCCGTGTACAGTCTCTGAAGTCAGAGCCAGTGCAGCCAGCTGTTGCAGGGCAGCCGGGCGTCCTCCTCGACCGTGGTTTCGACCCGACGGAACGCATAGTTGCGGCCCCCGTTGTTGTCCCAGAAGAGGCGACCGTCCTCGGTCTCGTAGCGGAGCGCCATCTGCAGCGACCGTGGCGCCTCCACGAGCACGAGCGTGAAGGCGAACTCGTCCACGGCGCCGCCAGGGGCGCTGGCCACGTAGGAGGCCGCCCAGTCGACGTGAGAGGTCCAGTTGGTTGTGGTGTAGCGCACCGACACTTTCTTGTGGAAGGTGAGGTTGGCTACGCTCGCACGACAGTGCAGGGACTCCTCGCGCACCGAGACGGACTTCAGGCACACCTGCGGAGACCGCATCCGCCGTCGGGTTTATACGGCATATACACCGCACATTAGTTTACACCCATAGGGGCGCAGTTCAGTTTTCCCAAGGGCTAGCACCATAAGGGTGTCAGCCGACACCACTAACGGTCCTGGGCAGTACTCCTAAGGGTGTTGTGGAGCATTATGTTTCGTTTTTAAACACCCCTGAGGGTGCTTAGCAGCATCCTTCGAGGTGTACGAAAAAACCCCCAAAAAACAATGCTCCCAAAGAAAGCAATTCCCGAAGTCTCTGATACTCCTTCGGATGCAGCTCTGCACATATAGCTCACATGCAACAGGCGCAATGTATATACAGTTTTGGCATGCGCAGTAAGAACACACGGATGCCACGAAGTACACACAACAGAGAAACCACATCCTGTAACATGTTGAGTTTTTCTCGCCCGTAAACATAATGTAGTTAAAACAGCGCAAGACGGGACAGGCGTTGACTCGCAACTAAAGGTTTTATTACAGAAAACATCAAAATTAAACACACCAGGCAGCAATCTACACATGCGCCAACCTTTCTGACTCATCACATAGGGCACCGGTCACCCACGTGCCGCGTGCCCCCCCCCCCCCCCCCCCCCCTCCCCCTCATTGTCGAAGTAAAAAACAACATCTCTTTCACAGATAGCGTCATCGACGGATCGCTGATGCACTGCGCCCCGTTTCCGTTATGCAAAAAGGCCTCTCACTTCCCCCGTCAGCTTGTCTTTGTGCCTATCTACAAGCGTGGTGTCCTCGAAGGACAACTTAAACAAACAGGTCTTACAGTGCACCGCCAAATGCCCTCCGACCGTGGCTCTGAGCGAAAAGAACAATGGTGAGCTGACCTTTAGAAATGCATGTGGTGTGCCCCTTGGGGGTTCCTGGAAGTGTTGCAATTTTACCGAGGGTCGATGGTGGTCGGGTGGAAACATGAATACTATATGCAAAGGTCGGGTGTTTGTACTGGCTCGTGTGTTTCTCCTATATTGAGTGATATTTACTTGAGTAGAGTTGCCCGGGACATTGAAGGGTCATTGGTCCACCATGGTTAAAAAGGTGGTTCGCTATGTTGATGATTTTTTTAGTGTTCCTAGAGGGTTTTAACGGCACGGTGTCCTCAGTGGCTGACGTCTCGTCAATTGTTGAAGAATGTGGTGGGGGCATCAGGTTCACGTCCGAGGTCCTCAAGGGGGGGACCTCGGACGCTTCGGCGGCAGCCCAATATCTGCTGGGCGTACAGCCCTTGGCAAAAAAGGCCAGCTTAGGCTATAGGTCAGCCCACTCGAAGGTTATCAAAAGCAGCATTGCGATTTCGTACTTGGACGCGGCCCTAAACAGGTCCTGCGTCCACACAGTGCATGAGAACTTTCAGGCGCAGTGCGGTAGGCTAAGAGACGCTGCGTTTCCGCGTGCTTTGCTATGTGGTGCTGCCGGCACCCATGTTTAAAAGGTAGGAACCTCTGCCCCTAAGAAAGTGGTGGACAGGCGAAGGACTGTCGTCATCCCATACCTGCAGAAGGTTTCCCACAATTTAAAGAAAGTAGGAAGTCGGTACAACGTCCCTGTGGTGTTTTCCGTCCCCCAGAAGTTGAGTCAATAAGTTCGAGGGTAAGCACCGAGGCAGAAGGGCAGTCAAAGAGCAAGTGCACAAAAAAAAAAAACACGCAAATCCGTTTGTGAGCTGTGTGTCTGGAGTGGTATACAAGGTCCCCCTCTCGTGTGGTAAAGTGTCTATCGGACAGACGGGGAAGTGCTTAAATGATAGGCTCAGGGAGCACAACTATTCGCTGAGAGCCACAGTCGGAGGGCATTTGGCGGTGCACTGTAAGAGCTGTTTGTGCAAGCCGAGGAGACCGTGCTTGTAGATAGGCACAAAGACAAGGTGGCGAGGGAGGTGAAAGAGGCCTTTTACATAGCGGAAAGCGGGGCGCAGTGCATCAGCGAGCCGTTGGTGACGCTATCTGTGAAAGATGTTTTTGACTTCGACAATGAAGAAAAGGAGGGAGGGGGGGGGGTTAGCACGTGGCACGTGGATGACGGGTGCCCCACGTGATGAGGAAGAAAGGTTGGCGCATGTGCAGATTGCTGCATGATATGTTTACTTTTGATATTTTCTGTAAAAAAACCTTTAGTTGCGAGTCAGCGCCTGTCCCGTCCTGTCTGACCTCAAGTGTGCCCCCGAAAAATCTCAACTCCTCCTCGTACGCTCACGCAAGCGGGAACGAAAATCCATTCCTTAAACGTCGACGGCTGACATTCAACTTCACTTCGAGAACGGAGAACCCGTCCCCGTGGTGGAGCGCAGCCGCATACTGGGTCTTCATCTCCAGCACGACGGAGGAGCGACCCACACTATGTACCTTCTCCAACAATCTACGACGAAGATCATGCGTATGATGGGAAGGATCACAAATCGTAGGTATGGTCTTGAGGAAGCAGATCTCATCCGCATGACCCAAGCCCTTATCGTCAGCCGAATCACATACGCAGCACCCTACCTGAACCTGATGAAGAGGGACGAGGAGAGATTGGACGTCATCATCCGTAAGGCGTTCAAGATCACTCTCGGACTCCGCCTTTACGCATCCACCGATAAGTTACTCAACACGGGACTATACAACACATACCGCGAATTGGCCGAAGATCAACTTCGAAACCAAGCAGAGAGACTCGCGACCACATCAACAGGTCTGCACGTGCTACATTCTCTCGGAAACGTTGGCCGCGTTTCAACGCGGCCAACGTTTCAAATATCCACCACCTCATCGCTCACTAACCCGCGAGCACGCCACGACCTGGCGTCAGTTACAGATGGCAGCATTCAAACATTTGGCACTCCTGCATAAATTTTGCCCCAACAAATATCCTGACACTTGCCCACACTGCGGCAAGTACCCATCCCTCTATCACGTCACTTGGGTGTGTCTCGAACCCCTCGCTACCCGTTTCCTCTTCCCCTTCCTCCGAGACCTGGGAAGCTGCGCTGCTCAGCCCCTCCCCTGACGACCAGCAAATGCTGGTACAAAGGGCGAGGGCTGCGGCAGAGGGCACTGGAGCCCTGGACTAAGGGCCCCACCTAGACCAAAAGTCTCTTGCAATCAATAAAACTTTACTTTTCCTCCTGCTCCTTCTAGACTTTGTCGTTCTGCGCTGTTTTACCTACACCAACTTGCCCAGCTTTCAACTTTGGTTCTCGTCAGGATATCGCGTCAAAAATAATAATTTCTGGGCCGTGGACTGCATTTCTCAATCAAAAGCATTGGTAGAGACGAAAGAAGTCCACGCAGTTACTAACAAGACCTACGCTAAGCGGTTCGAAGCAATTATGTTGTCGCTTGCTTTCCCGCACTCCCAACGCTTTTACATTACATTTTGCACACCCTTACTACTATACCCTTAAAAGACATAAACGATATTTTAAGAGAAATATAGGGCCGTTAAAAGGTGTAGCAAATAGGTGGAAGTCGTCATGAACCTTCTTTGTCCCCTTCAGCAAGCAAATCTATTTATTGTGTTTGGTGTGTGGAATATACAAGGTTCCATACAAAACCACAGTCCAACGTGAAATCAACCCAGGCCAGCAGCCGCATGTTCGTCGCTTCGCAGAGAGAGCAAAGCGCGCACCATAATGTCCGAATGCCGGCGCATGCCCCCATATGACAACAAAATACCCAACAGGAGCAGTCGAAAAATGGTGGAAAGATATAGACGTACATACAAGTTACGTCAGCATAACTTCAAGCGGCGGATACTACTGCGTCAGCGAGCCGTGATCAGGGCGCCAGAGCGAGAAAGCTATCACGTGGCATTGCTCAATCGCCCTGACTGCATCGAGGCGGTGGGAGCGGCCGCTCCTTGCCATGCTATCCCAGAACGGAGTATAGGTCAACGGGCTGTTCACGAACAGGCTCGCGTTTGCCGACACTATACTTTGTTTCATCTTGTGTTGAACCGCAGCGGAAGACTATAGGGAAATGACACGTAGCCTCGGCAAGACAGTTTTACACATCGCAAAGTAGTGCTTCAAACACGTTGATAGCTAGTACAAAGCGCGTAGCCTTTTTCCTTAATGTAAGGTTCGTGTTTTGTACCACTGATACATAATTTATGCAAGCTCTCAGACGTGATAGTTAATATAGAAATATGTAGCATGTTTGGAGAAACTAGACTCCTGGTTGGCAACGCTGTCGTTACTGTCACGTTCCGCTATTTGGCGCTCATGGCACCATTGCCGATGCGACGTACTGCAAAGATTTGTGTTGAGAATAAAAGTTGTCGATGTAAAAGCTATTATGGTCAAGCTGCATCCGACTTAGATATTTATTGGAACGAATAACAAAGTGACCTTGCTGCCTGCTTAGAACGTCACCTGACAAACGTAACTGCGCTCTCACTTTCGTTCGGCGTAATGGCCACGGGATAGCAGGCCCGTCGGGCCCATCTCCGCCGGGGGCTTCTGTGTTCCTTTCGCCAACTTGCGTCCACACAAAAATTTTTGAAAAAAAAAAAAAAAAAAAAAAGAATCGCATTTGGAAGACAAGCGCGTCAAATTGTATTCAATGTATGCCAGAGATTTCGTTCTGAGCCTGCGAGCGAGCCTTGCAGAGCGATCGTCGAAAGAACGTCCAATGGTGAATTCCACTCGCCGTCTTTGCGCGCTCCGGGATCGCACTTTTTTTGGAGCGCGCGTCCGCCACCGTCGTTTGGGATCAACCCGGTTGTCTTTCGCTCGTCGTTTTGGAGCAGCGCCGACTCCGGATCCGACACACGAGCCCTAGCCTGCGAGTTCATGCAGGCGATACATTTTGCATGGCCGTTAGGTTGGAGTCGACGTTCTGTTGTCCAGGCCTGCCCAGTCCATTGCGAGACAGAAAAAAAAATTCTCTAACTTGCCGTGTTGCACAAATTGAAATGTTTCTGCGGGTCCTACTTCCGATCGAGGCCTCTGTGAGCATAATGTGCCATCCAACCGATCCAACTCACAAAATGCAAACTGCACAGCTGCGCGCCGACCTCGCGGTATACGTCAAGTGGTTCCAGCCAGGATCATCAAAGATATTTGCACTTGCGCAGTAAATCGAGAAAAATACATGAAGTCCCAATCTTCTCGAACACGGCAGACGAAAGCGTATCCATCCGCACCGCGTCCACGCCCGACTTCGAACCAGCACCATTTTAACTCGCGCACTGATACCCACGTTGGGTCATACACCCGAGGGGCCGGCTGACGTAACTGGCGCTTGATTGGCTGTGGAGGCCACTAGCCTTCCGCTGCGGTTCAACGCAAGATGAAATGAAGCATAAGCACACCCAATAAGAAGGGCCGACAGCAAGCCCGAATTCCGGGTAAACAGGGCCATTCCAGGCCCCGAGGAATCTTAACCCCCGGAAGCTAATGAAGAAGCAAGATTGTCACTCTGTGATCTTAGGGCAGAGGGACCCAAACTTCCCCGTGTGAAACGGGTGTTAGAGCCGGGCCACCGTATTTGCAACAGGAGTGAGGAACTGCGATATCCCATTTCGCGTCCTGAATTCACGCCCAAGCCAAGGAAGGGACACCTCAGTGTCATCGAGAACACAAGGCCCGCGCTCTACAGACTTGGAACTCCGACCACTCGTCGGAGTTTGGAAACATTTCTTTTTCCATTTTCAGGCCAAGCCATACAGGGGGGGACGGGGAGGGGCGAGCAGGGGTGTCCCCCACCAAAGGATGCGAGAGCTCCCGTTGCGGACGAGTTCGCCAGGGATGCACCCCCTTTAGGTTCACTAGTCCTGCGGCGGGCACAACGAGCAGGCCAAGTAACTATCTGCTCTCACCCCGAAGTCCAAGGCGCGCATGCCATAGGAGAGCCATAGGAGACAAGAGAGTCAAAGTGATAAAGAGTCTCTCTTACCAAAAGGGAAATTGAGAACTTCCCGCCTATGGGTGCGGGCACCGAGCCGGCGCACAGACGAGATTCGCGCGAGTTTAGGCCTCATGTGGATACGCCGTGCAGACAGCATCGCCACCGCAGCAGCGTGATGTCGGAGTCGCCTGTTCGTCCATACGTAGCAGTTAGAACGAGGCGACAACTTTCTACGAAATATCAAACGGATGCCGTTCCGCAGGGACAAAGTGCACCTTCCAAGCGCCATCTGGTGCTGACCGCTAACCTTGTTTTTCTGTACAAGTTCGGCGAGTTTCGAAGCGTCAGGCAGCTTGAAGTCAGCCACCAGGGCGCTGGTCTTGGCGAGTCGCGGGAGAACCTTGGTGGCCGATGGCGGCAGCAGCAGCGGCACCTGCTGGTGGTGCACGAGGCGTCGCACGTGCTCCAGTTCCAGGCCCAGGGCGTCGGCGAAGGTGACCAGGCGGCCCTTCCGGCGGAGGCCTCGGCTCACCCAGTCCCGGTTAGACCTCAGCTCTGCCGGGCTCCTGTGCCGCAGGATCGGCTTCTTGGGACTCGCACAAGCCGTGGACACGGTCGCCGATTCTGAGGTCAGAATATATCGATGAGCGAATACAATGTCCGCACGTCTGGCGCCAGCGCTAGCGGAACCCTGATGTTCCGCTAGAGATATTATAAATAAAATGTATCCACTTTTCGATTCGCTGTCTATAACTTTTTGCCCATTTTTTTGCACACTTTCTATAAAACTTAGTCTATAGAGAAAAGATAGAAACGCAAGGGAACAACATAGGAACAGCGTTTCTATCCCCCTTTTAAGGCCAATAAAACTGTGTTTTGCGAGAAAAAGATTCGGAACATTAATTTTAGGTTTGTCACAATATATTCATAGAGATATGCACTCACCACTTCCCGTATGCATATACGCAAACATCACAAATATACACGCCACACTCGCAACACTAGTGAATCAGTGGTGTTGACCGCTCTACCGCTATTAGCCCCGAGAAGTTCGCGTGGCGCCCCCTTACGGCAAACCGGGGTGACGTCACAGCGAGGAGAGAATTTTTCCCCGGCTGCCCCACTCGCCCTGTGGAGGCTGTGACGACGCCAGCTGTCGGCGCGCTCGTTTCTATTTAATTTCTTTTGGCGTGTTTTTTGTAGCAAGTGTAAACTTTTTTATGTGCCTTTATTGGGCTATGGCCTGTAGCTACCAGGCGAAACTTCAACCAACATTTTAAGCATGGTTGAGAGGGCAGGCAACACATGAATCGCAGCTGCTATATGAAAATAAAGAAATAGGAGCATCACTATAGATTTACATCACGCACAATAAATGCTGCTGATGGTCTGAGTGAATTGGCAGGTTATGTATACTATATTTTGTTTTGTATCTCCGTTTTTAAACAAGATCGCCGAAGCAGAAAAGCTGCATGCTGCTCGGGCAACATGCTAAATACAGTCTGGGCCATGGGGAGAGAATCACAAGTAAGACAGCCCAAGTGCAGGGGCAAAGTAAAAAAACAAAGAACATTTATTATATACATTGCTCGCATTTGACCTTTGCTGGATTCGGATAGTATTTCAATGGACTACACGGGGTATATCTGTGGACTTTTATATCAACCCTCAAGTAATGTATAACAAACGTAAGCGAAGGTGTCTAGCTCGTTATTAGTCGGTTAAGCCCTAAAATTGAGATTATATTTAAATCGAATTGTCCTGAAGCTAAAATAAGAGAACTTTTTCTCACGCAGACTGTTGCCCTTCACGGGTTCCACATTTTGTGCTACTAGTGCTGCAACTACCACTGGACAGACGTTCGAATGCTTCCTTTTACTCCTGTTTTCCTCTGTTGTCAGAGAGTCCAGCTGTAAGGAGTTTGGAGGCTGAGGAAGCTTTTGGAGACCTGCGGCAGTGCCTCTATCAATTGGAAATGACAATTCAGACTAAACGGTTTATTTTCCGAATACCCAAAACTGGAATAAAAATGTCAGGAAAAAGTATAAACATTCCAAATTACGGCACTATTGCTGTGCATATTTTGGGCAGTTCAAGACATACCATACAGGCAACTGCGGGCAATTCGGCCGTTTTTGCTGCTACCATACAAACTAATTTCCAGTAATTGTGCATCTTCTAAGAAATATGCCTGCATACGTGTATAAACTACAAAATTAATTTACGGAGAAGCTACATTTATCTAAAACAACCCTGTTCCATGAGCACTTCAAAGATAATCAGACACAGGGCCTTTAAAACATCTGCGAACCAGCGTATGCAGAGCGGCAGCGCAAAGTCGGAGTCCCGAGCTAATTTGCCGATCACCGAAAGGCCCATGATATAAATGCCAATCCAAATGCCTTGAAAGCGGGATGTAATATCGTCCTAAATCATGAACAAGCAAGGGACAGAATTCCAGCGTCTGAAACACTTGCGCCACCGCTCCAGCGATCGGGCGGGGAGGTTCATCGGCGGAATTGCCTCCGCCGATAGCTTTCGGGATTTGGAACCCAATTTTAAAGGTAAATGGGACAAGCAGGCTTATAAAATGTACGGAAGCACGTCAATATTGGCCTAACTCAACGTCTTGTACACCGGGTAAACGAAGTCCAGCTCCTCGAAGAGCTTGCGGCACACAACGCCAAACCAGGAAACCGGCGCTGGGAAGCGAGCCGATGCGAGATCGCGGAGCGGAGTCATCGCCCTGACGTCACGGTACGCCTCACCCAATCAGGGCGCGGCGACCGCAGCGACCTCTTGTGTTCGCTCTAGGGGCTAATAAACTATGCCCTACACTTGAAAAGCAACCATCTGAACCAAACTATCCCAAAAGATTAAAAAAAAAAAAAAAGATGACAAGGATGTTGTGTTTTTGTTTTTGTCAATAATGTATATGAAATGTAGTTTATAAGGGTTGGTGAACTGCAATCCCCAACTATAAAGCATTGCAAGAGGCGATACATACTTGATACAGTCGAAAAAAGCAGGCTCCGCAAGGAGCCTGCTTGGTGCACGATGTCGCTTCTCCGCACTACATCTTATTATTCTATCGAACCTAGTCTATACAAATTCTATAAAAATTCGGTAACAGGAAGTTTATTGAAACGTGCCGGTAGAAATTTTATAGTATTTCTAACGTTTGCATTCTATATAGACTTCGGTTGAAAGAAAATCTATTGAAAATTGTCGAAAAGACCCGACTGGACAGGAAGTTGGGAGTCTTTAAATGGATGGATATCTTTAGGCTGCCTGAAATATTTCTTGTAAAGGAACAGGCCGAAACTGATATGTAAACGAGAGCCGCACAGACATAGGGACAAAAGAGGGCGAAAAAGACGTGCACAAATTCATATTGTGCCGGTTACAATAAACGCGAAAATATATCACCTGGAATAATCGCTAGCTAGCGTGAAAAGGCTGCGTCGTACGAAGAAACTCCTAGAAGTCGTAACTGCATCGACCGTTTTGAATGCTGCACGCAACTGCTCGCAGGCACCGTTTTCGAGGGCAGTGTTAACTAGGGATGTCGCGAACCACCCCAAGTTCGATTTCAAAAGGTTTCGATATTTGCGAAGCGAACTGAGGTTCGATATCGAAAAATTTCGATATTTTCGTACCGACCGAGGTTCGAATTCGAAAAATTCGCAACTTTCGATCACAGTGCAGTTTCGATTTCGAAAATTTCGAAGCTTTCACGGTTTCTAAAATTTCGGATTCAAATATTTCGACTATTTTTTTACTTCAGGTTCGATAAATTCGAAGATATCGAAATTCTTTGGAAATAAAATTCGAAAACTTCGAACGCTTCGAATTTTTATAGACATGAAGGTCGAACAATTCGAACATTTCGAATTTCTCTCTGCATAAAGTTCGAAAAGTTCGAAGGTTTCGATTCTCTTTTAACGCTAAATTCGAAAAAAAAAAAGAAAAAAAACTTCGAGGATTTTGAATTTCTTTCTAGTCCAAGTTTTCAAAGTTCGAAGTCCAGTTTTCAAGTTCCTCCACAGTTTGTTTCAAATGACGTTTTCACGACTCACTTTTTACAAAATCAAGTTTAGAAAAGTTAGGGTGTGATACTGTAAAACCCTTTATTTTCGCGGCCCCTATTTTTCGCGAATCGGTCACAGATGACATAATCGCGACCACTAAATTTCGCGAATTCCAGACGCCTGCATTGAAAATCTTAAGGACCGAAATTTTCGCGCGCCCTTAAAATTCGCGAATTCTTCAATTCGTGAAATTCGCGAAAATTTAGGGCTCGCGAACAATAAGGGTTTTACAGTATCTAGATTCTGCGAAGTTGGTCACGCAATTCAATGAGGCGACGAGTGTCCCGGATGTGCTGGAATATTTGCCAGTGCAGAGTGACGTGTGACCATGGTTCAGTAATTGCGACCGCCAGCCCGGGGTGGAGAAGGGGGGGGGGGGGTCTTTAACCTGCATCACGCAGTAGTGATCACACGAACACACTGTTTTACGAGACTCATCCAGTTCGAAACGGCCAGGGGCGAGCAGTAGGTTGAGGCTCAGAAAAACCCTGAAGCGACCTGGCAAACTACCTCGCCACCCCTTGCACGCTGGTAGTAATCTGATCGAACGCCGCCCGGGTGACGCTGGCATATATTAAGTTAAGTTTTAATTGTCCTGGAGGTTTATTCTCTGGGACGGAGGAATCGCCTCGCAAAAAGCCGACACAACTCGAGGTTGAGGAGCGCTCTACCATCCATACAAGTGGCGACGGAAGAGGAAAAACGGGGGGTAAGAGGGTAGCGGGGGGGGGGGGGGGGGGGGGGGGGGGGGCTTCAGTTCTCTTTCCCCTTTCCAGATATTTCGGACTGTTAAAGAAATCAATTCGGGGAAAGAGGGCGTGGTCGAGCTTATTTTGATCTGAAATTATTTATGCATATGTATAGCTACTGTCGCTCTTCACAGCATAAAAGATTGCATAGATGGTCATTGTTAGAAACTCGTTGTCAGAAGGCACTACTCGTCACATGCTTAGTGGTTCGGAAGTTCAAAGCTGTCTTTTAGACCTAAATACCTTTGCCAATAGTAAAAAAAAAAAAAAAAAAAAGAATAATTGCGGGGATAAAAAGTTGGGGGAAAAAAGACTATCAAGAATTCGCCGGAAGTGTTGTATTCTTGCGTATTCAGAGGTTCAGAACTTCGAAACAAGTTTCTTTTACCAAAATGTGTACAGGCTAAAAGTAGAAACACGTCCCAGGATCGTGAAGCGAAAAAAAAAAAAAGTTTTCTTTCAATGACGTGCTGAACTTGAACACTATTAGAAATCTTCTCCCATGAGTTAATTTATTCCTTAACGTGAAAAAACAAAAAATATATTATTTTGTATTCTGCAGATGGCAATGACATGTACTGTCTGTGGTGTTAATTTAAATGCGATACCTCAAACAACTTAGATGAAAATAAATATCAACTTTAGGGCATAATTGCATGTAGATACATGTTTGGACATTCCTTCGAAACTCACGTTGAATAACAGTAATCACATCTTAAGACGGCACCCACCTAGGATATACATAGATCATTCTTAAAAAAATATAACATCTCTACCACAAATAGCTTCGGCTACAGCGCGCTTCAAATCTGGCACAAACGATAATCATCAAAAACCCGTCGTCCTTCCTCGCCCCTTCGGAAATTTATTTCTTTAAAACTAAGTATGCCACAACATTGAACCTAACGCCATTGTCTTTCATAAGGAACGCAGCACTGCGTGTAAAAGTTCGAGAAAAAAAACAAACAAAAAAAACTACGAATGTACCTCACTACTTGAAGTCAAATGAAACCGTCCGCTGGTCTTTCGAAGTTCGACGAACGTCGAACGTTTACCCTAAAAGTTCGAAGTTCGTCGAAATTCTGACTCTTCAGAATCGAAAGTTCGAAACTTTTCGAACTTTCTTGATAAATAAGTTCGAAAGTTCGAAATTCATCGACTTTTTTGGTCAGTCAAGTTCGGAAGTTAGCCAAACATCGAACTTTACAGCGCAATAAGTTCGAAAGTTTGAAAAAGATAGATTTTTTTAGCATAATAAGTTCGACGGTTCGAAAAGCGTCGAACTTCTTAGCTCAAGAAGGTCGAAAATTCGACCTTTGTCGAATTTTACGATGTAGACAATTCGAAAAATCAAAATCTTTCGAACTTTTCGAACCGCTTGATTCGATCATCGAAACTTCGATTCGAAAAAAGTTCGCGGCATCCCTAGTGTTAACAGCGTGATGAGAATGGGGTTAAGACTAACAACTTCATGTTCACCATCCTCGAACCGAAGAGCACTGATTGCTGTTTCAAGTGCACACTGTCAGAAGTATCTGCAGCTCCGACAGAACCCATAGCTATACGCAAATTTGACGAAAGCAGTTCAAATGGAGAAAAACGTTGTAATGGAGAAAAAACACAATCAAGCAAAACAGTTTCTTTGTATAGTTGTACGATTGTTGTGTGTAGTTTAGGCATGCATTCCAAATGAACAAGAGTAAGACCCAAATGAACTCAGACGTCGGATGCGCGCAGATGCATAAACAAACTTTTGCTCAAGCAACTGTCAAAAAAAAAAAAAAAAAAACGGCATGATAGGTTTTTAGTCGATATAACCTTAACTTTTTGCTACCGGTCGCCCGCGTTGATATGAAACGGTAATTTTGATAACTTTACATACGTACATATCCATGCATATATACACATATATAATAATAATTTAAAATTAAAATAATACAAGAAAACGTTTGTTGGCATACAAAATCAGCATTCGACATGAAACTGGGTCGAGGTCACAACTAAAATTTAGGCGAATCATCGACTTAGACGGAAACTTATGCGGACTAGCTTATATGCATTCCTTAATTTGGGATCCTTCGCTATAAAACATATAGAATCACCGCATTCACCCTTAGTCACTATTAATCGAGGCTTCTCTCTTGGTACGCTTCACTCTGAGGATATTTCTTTTTGTAAAATCTGAAACAACGAAAAAAAGGTCCGACTCGGTCTTTGTGGTTATCGATTGGCCGATTTCTTAGTACTCGCACAGTGCGCTCAATATGCAATTTCAACGCCCCAAATGAAAAGAAAAATTAAAAAAAAAAAAAATATATATATATAACCGAGAAATAGTTGAAATCCAAAACGTGAGAAGAACGCAGATGTCTCTGCGGTCCGCTGGACCCTTTTAAATCACCGGAAACTGAAAATAAATTCTGAAGTTACCTTGAGCAGTTTATTATGAGCAATATAGTTTTAAGGTAAATAAATCAAGTTTTATTGGACCACGTTAGGCTCAATAAATAATTTGCCACTTCGAAAGGTTACTGGCGCTCCTCTGGCCCTCGGAAACGGCATGTAAGAAAGCTACTACTATATTCATGCAAATTGTTCGCTATGGCAATAGTGAATTGAAGAAGCAACCGATTCCACTGTCGAAAACCCGTTGGCGCGGAATCTTGGCCAGCGAGAACTCGCCTGTCGTGGGAGGCGTCTCCGGCCGACCAGAACTGTCGCTTCCGCCGGCAGAGAAGTCGTACTCCTCATCCGGATCCTCAGGACGGAAGAACTCCCCGAGCAGGCGCATCTTCCTCTCCAAGTGCTGCTCCTGCAGTTCGGCGCACATCTGGCACGACGACAGGTTCCGCGGCAGGTAGCGGTAGATGCTGTCCGCATCTCGCCTGTTGAGCACGTTGGCCTGCTTCGGTTCCCTCGGAGGCTTCGAGACGGGGCATGTCAAGGGCCCCTGAGGATCCATGCCGGCTCTCTTTGACCCGCCGCGTTTCAGGAGACCGAGCGTGTTTTAAGGAACCGTCGATAACGCGGCTGTTTTGACCTAAGATATTCACCGTTTGCGGAGTGTACGCCAAGTGGATCCTTTGCTAACGCAACACGGAGTTGACCAGGAAGCGTTCTGAACTGCACCCGAGAGGATTATTCAAACCTTTGTCTGTATCGTCACCATGCCCCTTCTAACAAGCCATCTTCCAAAGATAACCCCGTGCTCCCATTAAGTAATCTAATATATTTCTCCGTCGTATAGCTGACCAAACTCGAGGATTTTAATAATAAGTAAATGTTAATTGCCACAGCAATCCCATTCATGCAATTCCATTGTTTTTGTAGGTTGAGGGAAATATTAATTTACAAACTGCAACTAACTTACCGTTATATCGCGTAAATACAAACGTATATGGGTAGCAATAATCGCCGGAGGCTAGAACAATGAAAGATATAACACATTGGGTAAATCTAAGACAGCTTTGTATTGCTTAGTTTAATCTGACATAGCCTATGGTTGGATAGACACAAACTTCCAGCTGTTCTTCCCTCTAAGTCCGCGGCGGCCCGAAGTCCATCACAAAACATGTCAAAACCGAATGACAACATAACTACGAATGAAAAGGTAAGCTGAATCAAAGGAGGGTATTCTAGCTTGACCTACAAACCAAAACCACTTGGTCAAAACAAATTTTCAGATCGCCGGACGCTGAAGGCTTTTCATGACGACGACGAAATTCCCGCATTCAGTGTTACATACAATTGAAGTTTGCTGCCTAGTTCGCTCAGCCTCACCGATTACAGCCGTATAAAAACCATCGCTTTCTTCCAAGAGAATTCCCAGAGATGTAAACAATGAAGCGGCGTTGCGTTTGAGGTCTTTTTCACTTCTGCTATCTCGACAACACACTTACGAAGACCTTCGGTGCATCTGTTTTTCTCCAGTCGCTATCGGAAGCAAAACATTTGCGCACATTACTTGCGGCTTCTGGAACGCTGATACGGGCCTCCCCGGTGCTGATTCAATCGTCCTTTCGCCCTTCACACGCGTTATTTTTGAAAGTCGCTTCCAAAAGGAAGACACTGACAGCAGACGACGAATCAGCTGCAACCTTCGTCTGACAGAAGCAACAGGAGTAGCAGTAGCAGTAGGAAAGTTGCCATTTTGAAGGTTGGTAAATGGCTAGCAGCAACGGCAAATGCGTGCCAGCAAACTTGCATGTAGGCGTTTTGTAGCGCCATCTGCTATGAGTTTTGAAAACTACATGCTTATGCGTTTATCATTCACTTCAAAGGAGGGCGCCACGTGTTCCAATGACGAACGAGTACGGAGCAGAGTAGCGCAATCCTTTGATCCGCGTGTTTCGCCGACAACATGGCCGACAGAGCAGCTCGGCGCGAGTCACGTGGTACTCGGGGTTTCAAGAGGCGGCCCGTTCTATGGGAGAATAAATGGAGATCGACTCAACACGGCTGATTAAAAAATAAATGCTTAGTTCACACTTTTCGAAACTAGTCTTTCGTGAAGTTGGTAAAGCACTAAAAACTTTGTCAAAGTTTTAATAATATTGGATGTCTGTGAAAATTGTGAGAGGGCAATTTCCAAGCAGACGATTGTTTTGCGCAGCGGAGATGGAACGTATCCTCGAAAGCTTTAAAATATTGTAAGGTCATCTGTTGATGCTGAAATATCCTTTAATAATTGTTACAAGACACGTTGTATGTAAGCACCGAACCACCAAACTCTACAGGAGCACAAACTTGCTGGTTTTATTTGTGCTCATCGGTGGATCGTAAGCTAGTGCAACGAGCCTGTTAGAGATACTTGTTATCATTGGTTGTGTAAAAAGTGTATAGTACCCTCAAATAAAAGTGTGCACTCCACAAAGTACTTGGCGTTTACATTTGAAAGGAGTGCACGGAAATGTCAAACCGGTCTGGCAGGGATTCAAAAGTAGTCGGCCCATAGGCGATGCAAACCGCCTTCTTAATAAAAAAATGCTTTTTAAGCTTAAAAAAAAGAAGCGCAAAAGCTACATTAGGGTGGTCTGTGCTGGTGAGTATGCGGCCAGGGGACATAATATGGGGGCTTGTCACGATGAGTAAAATGACAAACCAAAATGTGTTAATTAATTTTGTATATGTAAAAATAAAGTGTTAGTTTAATTAAAAACTTTCCGAGAGTAATCGAAAATCTGTAAATCACTAAAGTTTAAAAAACTTTGGGCGCGTAAGAAGCACGGTTTTGCGCTAATAGGGAGTTTTCGTAGACTGCGTTGCCCCCTCCGCTAAGCCTTCCGCAACGAAGAAGTTGCTACTGCGCCTGCGCGCCCATACCCTTGACTGTGGAGTTCCCGCTATCGTAGCGGGTTGCGGAGGGCCCTTGCGGGAGGGCGAAAATGATCTACGAAAACTCCCTAATGGTACCACTTGCGCTAGAAGCGCAAGACTGCCGGTGTGAAATGGAGATTGAGAACATCCAAAAAAACAAGAATAAAATCTGCGCGAGCACGTCGAAGCTGGGGTGCTATTCTGGTCGCAAACAAGTAAGTGGGCATGGAAGCTTTCCAGCTATGAAATACTTGAACTTTTTCATCTTCGTATTGCAGTTCCTGAGCGAGCTCGGACGCGGGTCCCAACCTGATCGGCAGCATGACGACAACTTTGCTGCTTTCCAAGTGCCAGTCAGCGTTCCAACCGTCGACACGTGTACCCCTGCTGCGGTGTCATCCACCGACGTGAACTGCCCCTGCATCGAAGGACTGAACCGATCACCAACATCTTCTACGGCATCGACACCACCTGTGCCGCCTATTGACGCTTTGCAGCAGCTGTGCATGGACGCCGCCATAACTGACCTTCAGTTTTTGTTTCCTCTTATTTCTTTTATTTCACTTCATCATTACCATAGCAGGCCAGGTCATTGCCATATTAGGTTCAACTGGGTCCTTTTCTAAAGCACCGGCCTTTGTAGAGGATAGTCAACTACCGTTTCAGTTGCTCGGCATCTCGGTAAGACAAGAGAAGGTCAGCAATGGCGGCTGTAATTTGGCGCGTGTGTAAAGCGTCTTAGAGGCAACTTCGACGCGCTGCTCGCCAGGGCATGGAAGCTTTCCAGCTATGAAATACTTGAACTTTTTCATCTTCGTATTGCAGTTCCTGAGCGAGCTCGGACGCGGGTCCCAACCTGATCGGCAACATGACGACAACTTTGCTGCTTTCCAAGTGCCAGTCAGCGTTCCAACCGTCGACACGTGTACCCCTGCTGCGGTGTCATCCACCGACGTGAACTGCCCCTGCATCGAAGGACTGAACCGATCACCAACATCTTCTACGGCATCGACACCACCTGTGCCGCCTATAAGAGGCAACTTCGACGCGCTGCTCGCCAGTGGGCATGGAAGCTTTCCAGCTATAAAATACTTGAACTTTTTCATCTTTATATTTCAGGTTAGTAAACAGAGATCCTGTCATTGTTTCCGTTCTAATAATATTTGCCTTTTTAAGCTTCCATGCCCTGAAGCTTGCATTGAATCATTTAGAGTGTTGTTACTCCTTTTGTGCGGTGACGTAGAGAGAAATCCAGGCCCTATGTCAAAGGTTGAGGTTGAATTTGTGCAAGATCTCAACAACAATATCCTAAAACTCGAGAGTATATTAACCTCACTTCAACAAGAAGTACTCGAACTCAAGGCAAAGCTAAAACAAACCGATGAAACGCTCTTAGCGGTTTCCGAACAGAATACTCTGCTAACTAATGAACTGAGAGAAAGACTAAAACAAACCGATTGAGGGTGATTTCAGATAAGATCGAACAGGGGGTGGCTGGTCGACCTTTTAAATTTGCTTCATAATTTTATATGTTATTTCCAGATGTCTAAAATAAACAATATCAGAATTATTTTCACCCAGAAAAAAAAATTGTCGGACGCAAAAAATCGTACATCACGTAGAGGTGGAATGTCGCATTTGCTTGCATAGCCGGAGGGGGCAACTTTGGTGATTAATAACTAAAGTTATACTTTTTAAGTGAGTTTCATAATATTTTAGCACAATCTATATATACTTATAGATACGAAAAAAAAATATTGTTATTGTTTAGTATGTTTTGAAAAATAAATAAAAAGCATCAATTTCGGCTCCTTGACCGTTTTTCCCCCAACTTTGCAGGCCTCTACCTTAGGAAGTAATTTAGTCAGAAACGTCATATTTTAAGTAAATACACTACTTATAAATTGAAGTTCGTCCACTAAAATTCAAATTGATTTAAGCGCGGGTTGGGGAGATTTTGGCAAGCAAACACCAGACAAGCACCAAAATAGAAATACTTTAAGGGCGATTAAAAAAGAAATCCCGTTCTCGATTTTTTTTTAAACTCTGACCAGTCATTCTACTCTATTTGGGGGTTAATATCCATTAAAAACATGTTGCATTATATTGATGGTGTAATAGATACAGCACCTCTACCGAGCCCCTTCCGCGAAGATCGGCACGGTGTACCCCTGTGGTGCAACGCAGTTATTGCGACTTCTTACTCTGAAAGAAATGTATTTTTTTTATTCATTCGAGTATAGCAAGTAATAGTGTGTCACATCTTTGGCACGTTATAATAAATTGAGCATTAAATATAATAAATTACACATCATATACAACACAGTTCTGCCTTCATAGGTTTCAAAATGGACAGATTTTGACGCAAACATTTTCTGACAGTGTGCACTTAGAGTTTTTTCCAAGGGGACCCGACAGTCCGTGCCATTTCCAAGTCACAGGTCGAAGCTTCTGATGTTTCGTATAGCCACACATGCCACGACTGAATACCAAGAAAGGCGCGCTCTCCCACCCACCCTTCATTTTTGCGCTCACGGAATTCAACAACCTCGTCTTCGTCCAGAATTGTGAAATTTATTCCTTTTAGTTTTTGGGAAAGACTGTTCACCATGCATTTTGCAGACTGTATGGCCTTTCCTGGGAGCTGCCTCAAGTTATGAAGCGTTGCTTGGTGTTTGACAAGCCCTCCAACTCCGTCGCAACCGTTTTTTTCCGTGCCCAGTGGCCACTGGGCCTTGGGAAAAACATTTTTTTTGAATTCATGAAGTTGGAAGCGATTTTTGATGTGACTGGCGGCACCGTCACTTACATAAGTCAAATGAGAGTACACAGCAAGGTTGTCATCGACCCACTTTCTCACTTTTTGTACAGCCAGACCAGGGCCGTACCCAGAAAAAAATTTCGGGGGGGGGGGGGGAAGGGGGGTTCGGGGACAACGGCGGCCATTTTGAAAGGGTCTATTGTCTTATTTTTGCCTATGAATCATGTGCATCGGTGGCATATAATGGAGAGTTACAGCAAACCGGAGAACCGGTCCCGGTTTGGTACCCGGTAGCCGACCGGTGCCACTGCGCGTGCGCAGAGGTGGAGATTAAAATCGGCTGGCTGCAAGCGCACCGACCAGGGCCGTACCCAGAAAAAAATTTCGGGGGGGGGGGGGGGGGGGGCGAGTCAGAACCCCCTAACCCCCCCCCCCCCCCCTGGTTACGGCCCTGAGCCAGACAGGCATGAGCGGAGTCATGATGCAAGTCGTCACTGATGACGGCAAAATTGTATATCGACTTTCTAGTCGTCACCACACACGTAAATATTGAGACCTGTTTTTTGTTTCCAGTGGTACGCTTGAATCTCACAAAGAAGGATAACAGTCCAGTTTTCGGCGAAGTCAAAGTGGAAGACAATGCTACCACGCTGCGCGCACTGCTTTTCTTCGTAGATGACTTTGCCTTGCGTCTGTCTGATATGGTTGTGAATGGTCCACCTTGAGACCGACACACGAAGCTCTTCCATAAAAGTGACCGGATCTAAAGTCTTTTTCACGAGCTCACCTGACTCCAATGCTGCCAAAACTATCTCTTCATCCTCGGAAATGTTGAGTTTTTCAAGTGTAAGAGACTGGCCTTTGGGACAATGGTCACATTCGCTTAAAAGGCACTGGCGCGATGGCGGGTTGCAAATGAATGCCGAGTTCAATTCCGCTGCGTCAAGTTGTGAGCCAGCAGCGTTTTGTAGAGAGGCGACACAAAGGTTATAGTTTGCGCAGTACACACAAACGCACGCTTCTTGCTGGGGATTGCATTTAACCCATCGGGGTCGCAGAGAGTAAAACTTCGTCAATCCGATGCCGTATTCAGGA